GACCATAGGCGCCGGATCGGCGGTAAGCAGGTCTGGATGACTGGCGCGCCCACCTGCGCGCCTTTTGCCGGCGGAGCAGCTGCCATGATGAGCCCAGCGAACAACCCAAGGTTCATGGCAAGCAAGCGGAGAACGGTATCATATGAATTGCACCTTTGTTGCGTTGCCCTTGGAGCGCGGATGCCGTCAGTTTCAGCCGGCCGACGGTTGGATCATTCAAGGTTCGATGGTGACGATCACCCCGGCGTAGCGCGTCAGTGGAGGACCCCTTGTCCGTCACGGCAGGATGAAGTGCGCCTCGCGAGGAGCATCGACTCAGGCGCGGTGAAATCGACCGTGTGGATGTTGGGCGAAATGCCGGATCCAATCGCGCTGCTCCAGCCACCGATCTCCGGGTAATGAAACCAGTAGTAGCTGAGGCTGTCACCGTCAGGATCGGTCGATCCGACGGCGCTCAGAACGAAGCGCTGCCCGCTCTTCACCGTCATATAGGCCGGGCTTGCGAGCTTCACGATGGGGGGTGATTGGCGTCCTTGTAAGCTTTGGTCGACCAATCCACCCGGGCAGCGAAGTCATTTGAAGTCCGGTCGCCATCGCCACAGTGTTGCGCGGAAATCCTTGTAAGAACGGTCGCCCGGTATCATCGCCCTGCCCACCGGATTGCGGATCAGCGGCGACGGCGTCGGTGGCGTTCGTCCAAATTGCCGGGTCTCGGCTCGATCAGCACGCCACCCGTAAAGCCCGATGGGTCCGTCATCTGCTTCGACAGGGGGTGGAGTTCGTAGCGCCCGCCCCATCCGCCCCAGTCCGGGTGGTCCGGGGCACTGAGTCCATTAGGGATCAGTGGGAGAGATAGGCTGGGGTGTCCCTTCCATCCCATAGGCAACATCCGGATAGATCGCGCCGAGCGGACCATGCCCCTGCTGTATGTTCGCGCAGCCAGTCGTTCGAAATAACGTTATTATCCGCGCCATCGATGTGGGCGTGAATGCCCGTCCATGTGCCCGCGCCATAGCCCCCAGGACTGACGATGTGGAACAGATCAGGAAAGTCTTGCGGATCCGTGCACCTGTCGTCCCGGTGGAAATGGTATAAATCCGAAGCTTGGCGATCAAGCGCTTGAGATCTTCCGGCGATCGGTTTTTTTTTTGATGCTATAGAGCGCTTGCGCCAGCGTGTTTGCCGCCCCATATGGACACCCAGGAGCGGCCGCGGATCGTTCCGGTCAATGCCTCGATGATGAGGCGCGAGCCGGTTGTATCATGCTTGGCGCCGACCATCGCCATGCCGTAGCCGGGCTGCCCTCACGCACCAAAGATGTCAGCTTTGTCGCGGTCGGAAATCCCGGCTCATGCAGTACCAGCTTTGGTTGCACCTTCCCATAAGCATCAATGATCCGCCGGATGGAATCCGGGTGAATCGCCGTTTTTCATGTGAGTGGAGGTCGGCGACCAGCCTCAATGTCGATCTGGTTCGCGTAGAAAAGAGGCGGATGAACGACTGGGTATCGTCAGGATCGGCTTCTATGTCGCTCAAGACGATGAGACGCTGCTTCGCCACCTCCGCGGCGACAGCATGGGTTTCGAGCCGCCCGCTACCGGCGTGACCGGCTGGATAGCCGCTGCTGCAGCAGCCAACGCAAAACGGCTTTCATATGAGACGCGCGACTTCGAGCAGAGGGCGTTCCACCTTCCAGGATGAGGACCATCATTCGGTGACGCTCAGCACCGTCACCGACTTGGCCGGCACGGTCACTTTCAGCCGCCCGCCTGTGACTTTGGCGGAAATCGGTTGCGGTCAACTTCGTCGGGTTTGTCATAGGTGTTGACGGCATCGACCCGCGCCGCCGTCAGCACGGTGCCGGATGCCCTTCGTCGAATGCCCGGCGCCCATCAATGTCTGCAATTTTGTTGGGATCGACGTTGGTGAGCGCGATCCACAGCTTTCCGTCCGTGCCACGCGCAGCAATCGCATCGATGCGCACGCTCACCGCCGAACTTGTAGGTTCCGGCATCGAAGCTGATCGGCAATCGCTTGGCGCCCCGGAAAGGAACATACATCTTGAAAAGGTGATAGGTGGGGGTCAGCACCATCTTCGGGCCGTCCGTCAGGATCATCGCCTGAAGGACGTTCACCATCTGGGCGATCGCGGTCATTCGCACTCGATCGGCGTGTCGCGCAAACATGTTCAGATTGATCGAAGCAATGATGGCGTCGCGAATCGAGTTCTGCTGATGGTAGAAGCCATCTCTGCTACACAGGAAGCTTGGCGAGCCCACGCCCCTCGTCGATAAATCAGCGACACCTTCTTCTCAGGATCATATTTGTCCATCACCGAAGAATGGACGCGGATCATCCTCCATTTTCAGCGTGTCCTTGATGAGCATGGCGTATTCACGCTCACCAAAGTTGATGCTCGAGAAGGACGGAGGCCAGCTGATCCGGTGTAATTGTGCATCGAGAGCCCTTCGATGCTCCAACTCCAGTCGTGCCCTTCCACGCTTTCATTACCGTTTCGGTGTAGGCGGTATCCAGTCCTCCCCTGACCGACTGCGATCCGCTGGTCGGATCGGACCCGGCGATCGAGCCACCGGCCGGGTTGTCGGTCCCTTGCTGCCCGGGTTCAGGTTGCGGGTGAACCTCGCGTAGCGCTTCATCTCATCGACATAATAGTCGGCGCGCCATACGCCCCGCCGCAGCTCCAGCTTTCGTTACCGATACAGAAACGACTCGATAGGGCTTGGGGTGACCATTCGCGGCGCGTTCCGCTCCCGCCGTCGTGCGACGGTCGGCGGTCATATAGGCAAGCCAGCCAGCAGCTTCCTTTGACGCTGCCTGACCCCATGTTGACGGAGATGTAGGCCTCAGATCCGATTTGGTCGAGGAAGCCGAAAATTCGTCCGTGCCGAAGTCGTTCTTCTCGAGCGCGTTACCCCAGCTGCCGTTCACGGTGACCGCGCGCTTGGCACGCGGTCCAATGCCGTCGCGCCATTGATATTCATCCGCGAAGCAGCCGCCGTGCCAACGAACGCTCGAACCTTGAGCGCCTTCAGGCGCCTGAACCACGTCGCTCCGAATGCCTCGCACGTTGGGTATGGGGATTCTCACCACCCAGACACCGCCATAGATGCCAGCGCCGAGGTTCTCAGCGAACTGACCGAAGATATTCCGGTTGATTTTCGGCCCAGCGCCATCGGCTTTGATGGTGATCGCGACAGGCGCAGATTGCGCGCTGGGGCTGGAACCGGGCACAAAAGCGCAAGCCAGCGCCGCTATCGGGTTAAACCTCACCGCCTGACCTCTCCTACGACCGCACGATTTTCTAATCGTCAGTGTAAAGATATTTCTCCTACATATTCCACTATGTTCGTCGAGCGGGCTGGCGATCCGAATGATGCGGGCCTGAGCGCCAGCAAGCGAGAGCGCGCGGCGGCGAAGGCCACCGCCCTTCGGCCCCTGACCCGTGCGGGCAACGGGGACTTGTCGGCCCCGCTCGAACATGGGACATCCCGCCCGCCCGATGCGATGAGGCGAGCCTGTGAGGTATTTGTCCGCAGCTTGCGGTTGCCACAGCGGCGATATTGCCCTCAAAGCCACTTCTGTTTGCACAACACGCCCATGCACTGCTTCCGAGAGCCCCGGTCCTGCGTGCGTGCTGGCATCCGAAAGTCTCATGCTGCTGTCGGCTGAAGAGGCTATTGGCAGATAGATCGCTTCCCATCGGTGACTGCCGCAGAGTTACGCAGCCCCAACACCACAGCACGGTTGCCCAAAGGGCTGGGCTTGGGGGCCACGTGGCGGCGTTGCGGGTAGCGGTTCGTCGTCATCGGGCCGGCGGCGGTTGCGCCAGTCCGATATGCGCTGGGGCACCTCCTGCTCGATGATATGCGCGAGGCGGCGCGTGGCTTCGCTGGACGGCGGCCGCTGTTCAAATCCTTGACAGGCATCTGCGACTTCTTGTGGTGGCGGTTATAGCGCCAAGCAGGACCCGTGAGCGCCCGAACACCCAAGAATCGGAAGGCGGCTAACCACTCCTCAATATCTGTCGTAAAGTGACCGGTCTGGAGGGATGGGGCATGAAGAATCTGCGGATCAGTAGAAAGTTATTCTCGGCGTTTGGCGTCCTGTCGGCCGCGCTGATTATTATGATGGTCTTGTCAATCATAAGTCAATCGCGTCTTAACGCAACGGCAGAAACGCTGGGGCGAAGCCGTCGCGAAAAAGATCGTCGCCATCGCCAATATCAATACCGCGTCCGCCCATTATCGTGCGTCCGAAGTCATGGCGATTCTGGCCGAGGATTCCGACCAGCGCACGCCGCTTATCAAGATGTTCAGGCACGCGCAGCCGTCATTGCCAAGAATACGGATTATCTCGACGAAACTTGACCTCGCCCACTGCCATCGAGCAATTCCGCACGTTCAAGGCCTATTGGAGCCCGTTTGCCACGGCGTCCCGACGGACTCTCGAACTGGCGGGGCAAGGACTGACCCGCGACGCAACGTCATTATCGCGCCAACAAGGCGGCGTTCGATCGTGCCAATAGTGCCATTTCCCTCGATGCAGGGCACCCAAGTGCAGTTGATGGATCAGGAGATGGCGGAAGCGGCGAGGACCTATATCTGGTCGCGCAATGCCTCCCCGTGCTGTCGCTTGCCGTCCTCGCACTGACCGGCTTTCTGTTGATGTGTCGCTGATCCGGGGCATCGCCAATCCGCTGGCGTCGATGACGGCGGCGATGCGGCGACTTGCCGGGGGGATTTGGATGCTCAGGTCGCGGTGGAGCCGCGTCGCGACGAAGTCGGGCAACTGGCCGAGGCGATGGTGGCGTTCCGCGATCAGCTAGCCGGTGCCGAGCGGGCCAAGGCGGAGCAGACGCGGCTGATCGTTGACAGCATCGGCAACGGGCTGGACGCGCTGGCGCAGGGTGACCTGACCATGCGGATCGAGGCCGAACTGACCGGGCCGTTCGGCTGTTGAAGTATGACTTCAACAAGGCGATGGACTCGGTTTCGGCCACGCTATCGACCGTCTCGACCAGCGCAGGGATCGGCAACGGCGCGAGCGATATCCGCCGCCTCCGACGATCTATCGCGCCGTACCGAGCAGCAGGCGGCCAGCTTGGAGAAACGGCAGCGGCGATGCATGAGATCACCGAAACGGTGAACGAGACCGCCAACAACGCCAAGCGTGCCAATGAGGTCGTCACCACCACGCGCAGCGACGCCGAACAATCCTCCGACGTGGTCCGTCGCGCGGTCGAGGCCATGAACGGGATCGAGCGGTCGTCGAGCGAAATCAGCGAGATCATCGCGGTGATCGACGGCATCGCGTTCCAGACCAACCTTCTGGCGCTGAATGCCGGGTCGAGGCGGCCCGCGCGGGCGATGCGGGCAAAGGGCTTTGCCGTCGTCGCCTCCGAAGTGCGCGCCCGGCGCAGCGTCGGCCGATGCCGCCAGGATGTGAAGGCCAAGATCAACGCCTCGACCGAGCAGGTCGATGCCGGGATGGAACTGGTGGCGCAGGCCGGCGCCGCGCTGACCCGCATCACTGGCCGGATCGGGGAGATCAACATGCTGGTCTCCGACATCGCCCGGCCGCGGCGCGCAGCAGGCAACGGGTCTTCAGCAGGTCAACACCGCCGTGTCCGAAATGGACGGCGTGACCCAGCAGAATGCGGCCATGGTCGAAGAAGCGACGGCGGCGGCGCGCAGCCTGTCGAGGAAACCGACAATATGACCCGCCGGTCGCTCGCTTCCGTCTGTCCGATCGTCCGGCATCGAGCCCGCGCGCGCGGCTCTCCGGTCCATCAGTTGCAGGCCCGCGTGGCCCGCCGAGCCCGGGATCGCGGCGGCGCCGCGTGTCGCGCCTCCAATGTCGCCGTCGCGATCGACAATGGGGATTGGTCAAGTTCTGACGTCCACTCTTGGGGGGCCGCTGAAAAGCGGCGGTGGAGGGTGTCACGGGTGGCGAGGGGCAAAGCCCTTGTCGATCGGCGGCACCCTTCATCGTCTTGGGCCGCCGCCGAGGTTTCGGGTTAAATCCACTGTCGCCGCGCGTCCAAGGTTTTTCGAACGCCGGGTGGCGTTTACTGCGGCCGTCCGATCACATCGCCGGCCCGGATCGCCTGTCCCTCGGTCAGGTGATCGGCCGTGCGCATCCCCTTGGGCAGGAAGAGGGCGATGGTCGAGCCATGTTCGAACCAGCCCATCTCCTCGCCCTTGGCGACGCGTGCGGTGCAGGGTGCGGCCTGGGCCGCGTTCGCGCAGCGTCCGCTCGGTGTCGAGGCAGTGGAGCCGGATGCTCGCCACGGGATCGCTGCCACCGGCACGATCAACAGCGGCTGGCCCGCAATCAGCGTCCGCGCCTCGATCACCGCGCGTTCGTTGCGGCAGAAGAGGGCGTTCGACCCGCTTCAGCGCGATCGGGTTCACGTTCCAGCAGTCGCCCGAGATATAGGGGTCACGCCCTCGATCGCGATATCGGCCCGGTGCGTGGAAGCGGTGATACATGCCTGCCGTCAGCCGCAGCGTGACGAAGGATCCGTCGCGGAACCGCTCGACCAGCGCCGGATCGGGGATCAGGTCGTGCAGGCGATAGGGAAAGCCCTTGATCTGATAGAGGCGATCATCCTCGATCAGGCCATGCGCGCCGACCAGTGCGTCGCAGGGCGAAGCCAATGTGTCGGGATCGCTGTCGAACGCGCGGGGGCCCCCGCGCAACGGGCGGACAAAGCCGTCGCGCAGGGATTTGAACCGCGTCGTCCGCGCGTCGGAGAGGTCGACGCCGGCAAAAGAATTTCCACAGGCCGATGCTGGGGCGTGCCACCAGCGGATGTTCGATCCGCGCGATCCGCCGATCAATTGTGTCGCGAACCGGCGGGGCAGGCGGTTGGTGACGAAATTGATGTCCTCGTTCAGGAAGAACCGCATGATGGGTCCACGCATTGTCATGCCTCCGTCATGGGCACGCGGTCAAAGGCCGCATGAACCCGATTCTCACTGGCCTGCTGGCCGTCTCCGCCGGTGCGGTCGCCCTGACGAAAGGGCATCGCCGCCTGACCCTGTCGCGCGCCAAGCATCCGGGGCTGGGCGGCCACGTCCGCATGGCCAAACGCATTTGCCGGACGAATCCGTTCTACACCTATGGCGAGGATCGCTTCTTCCGCGTCGATGACGCGCCCGATGCCGTGGCGGATCAGCGCCGCGCCGGGTTCGAGCGGCTGGGGCATCGTTCGCGGAGCGATCTGCCCAACGCTGGCGTTGACCGAGGAAACGCGCTCAGGGTCTCTCCGACCTGCAATTCACGGGTGCCTATCGCGTGCCCTTCCAGTTTCGCGAAGGTGCGGACCACGCTGGCGACTGGAGCCTTTTACCAGCGGTCGGAGGGGCCGATCCTGATCGATCTCGATGGCAATCGGCTGATTGACCTGACCGGCTCTTACGGCGTCAACCTGTTCGGCAACGACTTCTACAAGCAGACCATGGCCGAGGGGCAGCGATGGTCAGTGATCTGGGCGGGTGCTGGGCTCGTTCCATCCGGTCGTCGCCGACAATGTCCCGCCTGACCGCGCTTTCGGGGATGGACGAAGTGTCGTTCCACACGTCCGGCACCGAGGCGGTGATGCAAGCGGTGCGACTCTCGCGCTATCATACCAAGCGGCCGCGTCTTGTGGTTCGCGGGCGCCTATCATGGCTGGTGGGGCGATGTGCAGCCGGGCATCGGCAATCCCGTCCCCGCCGACCGTACGCTGACCCTCGGCCGATATGTCGGAGCGGACGCTCAAGGTGCTCGCCACCCGCGACACATCGCCTGCGTGCTGGTTAACCCGCTTCAGGCGATGCACCCCAATGGTTCGGCCCCGTCGGACGGGCAATTGGTCGATGGCGGGCGCAAGGCGGGGCGGATATGGCCGCCTATCGCGACTGGCTGCACCGGCTGGCGGAGACGTGCCGCGCGAACGGTATCATCCTGATCTTCGACGAGGTGTTCATGGGCTTCCGCCCGGCGAAAAGGCGGGATGCCCGAATGTTTGGGGTGAAGCCGACCTGATCACCTATGGCAAGACGCTGGGCGGCAGGTTGCCGGTCGGCGTGCTGTGCGGCCCGGCGCATCTGATGAAGCGCTGGCGCGAAGACCGGCCTGTCGACATCTGTTTCGCACGTGGCACGTTCAACTCGCACCCCATGGTGATGGGGGGCGATGAATGCCTTCCTTCAGCGGCTGGAGACGCCTGAGGTCGCCGCGCTGTATGACGGGCTGGACGAGCGTTGGAATTCGCGGGCCGCGATGTTCAACGCAGCGATGGCGGAAGCCGGGCTGCCTTGTCGGTCGGGCATGTCCAGACGATCTGGACCATCCTCTATTCGGTCGCCTCGCCCTATAACTGGATGCTGCAATATTATCTCCGGGCGCAAGGGCTGGCGTTGAGCTGGGTCGGGACCGGACGGCTGATCTTCAGCCTCGACATCGACGACACCCTGTTCGCCGAGATTTGCGACCGCTTCGTTGCAGCGGGACAACAGATGCGTGACGATGGCTGGTGGTGGACCTCGCCGGACGCGCCGCAGGATCTGAAGGCGGCGCGAACAAGGCGATCCGGCGGCGTATTCTGGAAAGGTCGCTGGCGGTGCGGTTGGGGCGGGCGAGGCCCCAACCCCCCATCCGTCATTGCGAGCGGGCGAAACCATCCGAGCGTCGCGTTCCAACCTCGGATGGCTTTGCTCCGCCTGCAATGACGAAAAACAACGGCAGCCTTTCGACAACCGCCCCTCATTCGTCCAAAGCGGACGTTATGCCGCCTTCAAATCCTCGATATCCATGTCATCGACATCGTGATGATCCATCCGCTCGCCCTTCATCAGGCGGCGGGCGCGCTCTTGTACATCTTGAAGTCGTTGAACGGGTCGGTGACGATCTTGGTCGCCCAGACCGTGCCGGTTTCAGATCGCGCTGGACCCAGAGCTGCATGACGCGGACGACGATCGCGCGCTGACGCCCAGACCCAGCCAGCCGATGCCGACATGGCGCAGATAGGCCATGAAGCCATCCGGATATTCCAGCGTCCCGAACAGCGTCGGCTGGACCAGCAGCACCAGCGGGATCGCGCCCAATGCCCATCAGCACGTACTTACGCGCGAGGTTATAGCCGACCTTGATCTCTTCCCTATGCTCATGCGTCGCCTTGTTCACATGGTCATAGCCCTGGGCTCGAAGAAAAAAAGTGGCCGGCTTGGCGGGCTGGTCATCGCCACGCCCCGGCGAGCAGACTGGCGACCGCCGGGTCGATGAACAGCAGCACATAGGCGGTCAGGGAAGGTACAGGCACTGACGAAGTGCAGGCTCTGATTGACCGTGCTATGATGATAGTAACGATGATCGTCCCACCGCTGTTCGGCGAGCTGCGCGCGAAAACCCGTCATTGGCCGTGTCCTTGGGGGCTGAAAATTCAGGCTGGGGCTGGTGCTGGCGAAGCGGACCAACGAGAAATGGCCGAGGCAGGGGCAGGGCGGCTTTCGACGAGCGTCACGTCGCCGCGCGTCGCCGCCCAATCGGTATAGCGTTCGAACGGAAATCGGTGCGGAAGCCCGGGCGGCTGGTGATCGGCATCAGCGTCTTCTCGATCGTGCCGCGCAGACCATCGCCCGCGCCGACGCGCGTGGTGATGACGATCTCACCGCCAGGGCGGCAGATGCGCGCGAACTCATCCGGCGCGCGCCGGATTGGGGACGGCGGTGATGACGCCATTGCGCGACGACCACATCGAAGCTGTTGTCGGCGAATTGCAGCGCTTCGGCATCGCCATATGCGATCTGCTCGACATGGGCGAGGCTGCCGCGCGTTCACCCGCTCGCGCGCCTTGTCCAGCATCGGCTCGGACAGGTCGACGCCGACGATGCGGTTGGCCGCCGAATATTGCGGCAGCGAAATGCCGGTGCCGACACCCCTCGATGATCCGCCCGCCGATCCGTTCGGCGGCGACGATGGCGGCGGGAGCGACCCTTTTTGAAGACGGGGCCGAAGACCAGATCATAAACCGGCGACCAGCGATCATAGGCCTTGGTGACGCTGGCGGTACTCATCTGTTTGCCATCGAAAGGCATCCCGTTAAACGACGATGCGGCCCCTGTTTGCAGCAGGCGGTGACAATTTGACGACAAACTTCCTGAGTCATGCGATTTTTTCGCAATTAAGAAACCGAACTGTCACGCTGATGGCATGAATGTGTCGCAAACATATTCTAAGTCGTAGCGTGGTGGTATTGCGCAAAGCGCATTGGTGTGGCGGGATCAAATGTTTCCCCGGAGTGAGGGGACTCTGTGTTTATTCTGTAATTGATTCCAGCGCGGATCGCTATTTCACGTTCCTCATAGGGGATTTGCAAGCATGGCCCGTGCGCCGGCCACGGGGAACTCTTGCCGCGCCGACCGGGGCACTACTCTCCGTCAGGCCTTCAGTCTGCCCTCTTCCCTGCGGGAACGCCATGGCGTTGATCGGTTCCAGACTTGGTCAGGCGGCGAGGCGCCGGGTGGGTCCATGCCATGTCGTCGGCGGTCGTATGGCCTGCGCCATGGTCGAAGCGGCTGATCGTATCGGCCATGCCGTTGGCCTCCATGGCCAAATCGGCGCGCCGCGGCGGTGGTTTGCCTGACCATCGCGGCATTTTGCTGGGTCATCAGATCCATGTCGCCGATCGCCGTGTTGATCTGCGAAAAGCCGGTCGCCTGTTGCTGGGCGGAATGGGCGATGTCGGCGATCAGGTCGCTCATCTCGCGCACCTGCGCGGCGATGCGGTCGAGCGCGGTGCCGGCGGCATGGACATGCTCGACGCCCGCGCGCACCCTGATCGGCCGAGGCGCCGATACGGCTCTTCACATCCTTGGCGGCATCGGCGGAGCGTTGCGCCAGCGCACGGACTTCACTGGCGACGACCGCAGAAACCCTTGCCCGCATCGCCGGCCGTGCCGCCTCGACCCTGCGTTGAGCGCGAGGAGATTGGTTTTTGGAAGGCGATACCGTCGATGACCGCGATGATCTCGGA